TGCTCTTCGGATGTCAATTTCTCTGCAAAAACCTTGAATTTTTATTTATAATGGAGGTCTCCTAGCGGATGCTCCCAGATTTTTGCCAAAATTAGTATCAATCGATCACGAATTTGATTAGTACGAAATTTGAAAAGATATGACCTCATAATGGGCATATTTTGCCGAGATATTTGCATCCAAAAAGGAAAAAAACACGCCCTAAACTCTCCAAATTTTACAAATTCGAAATTTCTCCTCTTCGGATGCAAACATCTCGGCTAAAAGTGCCCATTGGGAGATCGCGTCCTTCGCAAATTTCAAACTAATCAAATTTCCCATCGATTTACACTACTTTCTCCAAAAATCATAGAGCATCCACTGGCCTACCTCCCTTGTTCGTTATGATATACGTAAGTAACACACGAAATGAATACAAACTTGACGTCCCGCATTGTTCTTGGTCTCTTTGGAACATAAATTCTAAAATTTTACCCACAATAAAGGCCGCATCGCAGACCCACTCACCCGAAGAAGACGACGAGGACGTCTTCGTATTAATAGAATTCGCTTTCTTTTGTGTAATTCGCAAAAGTACAATGGCGCTTTTCTCTGCAAAAGTAATACGTAATTTCCTGTCGAGATGTATTCATGCACATTCGTCCTTCTACTTCTAATTTGCGACAGGTATGTACAAAAAGTGGGGACGGATTTGAAATTTGATGAAGGGATAGTGAAATTTGAACGAATTTTGGTATTTTTTGTGTAGCTAATGTGCACAATTTGGCGGATTTCAAGTACTGCTTTCTCCTCAAAGGAATAGAAAGAGGAGGGATAATACAAAATTTTACAAAATTTTGGCGAATTTTGTATGGTTTTTTTGAAACCTAATAACGAGATTACAATTCGTGACGACAATTTGAACGAATTTCGTATTTTTTGAGGTCCATGTACATAACTTGGCGGATTTCAATTACTACTTTCTCCGAAACAGAAATAGGAGAAAGTTTTAAAGGAGAAAATTTTCCAAAATTTTCCAAAATTTTTGCTCTACTTAGAAATTTAATGAAGGGATAGTGCAATTTAGGCGATTTTTATATTTTTTTGCATAATTTGGCAGATTTCAATTACTCCTTTCTGTGCAAATATAATACATAATTTCCTGTCGAGCTATATTCATGTACTCGTCGGCCTTCTCCTAATTTGCGACAGGTACATAAAATTGGGGACGGATTTGAAATTTGATGACGTGCAAGGTAGGTAGATAGCGCAATTTGGGCGAATTTCGTATTTTATTTTGCGGCCCATGTAATTTGCAGAAATTCAATTACTACTTTCTCCTCCCAGGCAAATAAAAGGCGGGATATTGCAAAAATTTTGTACCAATTTGAACCTTGATGACGAGATAGTGCAATTTAGACGAATTTTGCAGGTTTTTTTTTTGCGGCAAATGTAAATTGTCGGATTTCAATTGATACTTTCTTCTCCAAGCCATATGTATATGGAAAAAGGCGAAATATTGCAAAATTAGTGCACCGATTTAAAGTCATGTGACGGGATATTGCAATTTTTATGAATTATAGTTTATGGTTCATGTACATGTGTAATTTGTCGATTTTCAAGTACTACTTTCTCCTTAAAGGAATAGAAAAAAGGCGGGATATTGCAAAATTTTGTATACGCGAAATTATTATTTTTTCACTCACATATGTAATTTACAAGATTTCAATTGCTACTTTCTTCTTTATACATATTTCAAAAGGACGACATATTACAAAATTTTTAGATACCAGATTATTATCTTTTTCGGTCCACGTACATAAGTCTTTACATTTAGGATTTAAATATTTCAGTATAGTTTAGTACTTTTATGCTTGAACGCATTGAAAAAGGCGTCATATTGCAAAATTTGGGTATCTTTGTCTGGATATTGCAATTTTGACGGATTATTTCTTCATGGCCCACGTGCATCTGTAATTTGCAACACATTTCAATTACCACTTTCTCCTTTATAAGGAAAAAAAAGAAGAGATCTTGCAAAGTTCGTAAGTACGAAATTATTTTTGTGCAGCCCACGTGCACAAATAAATATATATTTTTTTGTGATTTCAATTTCAACTTTCTCTTCTTAACCATACAAAAAACACGAAATATTACAAAATTTATATACAAAAAATATTATTATCTTTTGCAGCCCACGTACAATCATCTGCAATTCCCCAGATTTCAATTACTACTTTCTCCTCCTTTAAATAAATATACGGGTGAAGTGAAAGTTGGTGAAAGTGGGTGGAAAAAGGGAGAAAGGAAAAAAATAGGGCATCACATTTATTTATGGTTCCTTTGGCCAATCATCTTCTCGAGTGGCGGGGACAATAATGTCATCAAAATGAGTCCCCAGCCAGACAAAAGGAGAGAAAGGTCCCCCTTTCCAGAAATGGAAGAAAATTCGATTCCACTTTCACCACGGTTATTATTTTTGGGTCATTTTTTGAAAAATGAGAGCAAAGAAAGCTCGTTGAAAATTCGATTCCACTTTCACCATGGGGAAATCTACCTTTATTTTGCGAAGAATGATTCCATTCGAAAAGAAATTGAGGGAAGCGTTTCTCCGATTTCGGATCAAGTTTAATTTAATATATAAATGTGGGAATAAATACATTTATTTCGGGTGAAAGTAAGGAACCACTTGGAAGAAATAGGGGAAGAAAATAGTGGTTTCTTACAGGAGAATATTTTGACCTGGGAGAAATGCAGGGCGCAAGAAACTGCGCCCCGCCGCTATACTTCATTAGGCGCGTGTCGCATGTTTTTTTTACACTTTCTAGCACCTCGCATTTCTTGCGTTGCTTACTTTCTAGTGCAAAAAATTTAGCAAACTCGCAAGAAATGAAACATTGACCTTTGTGCTGTACATAAATTTCTGAACATTTATTTCCGAATTCGTATAATCCAGGCATCTATAATGTTACCTTCTAGTGCAAGAAATTTAGCAAACCCGCAAGAAACTAAAAACTGAATTTTGTGCCGTACATAAATTTCCGAACAGTTATTATCGAATTCGGACAATTTAGGCATTTATGACATATTTATTTTCCATCTACTTAAATCTTTAAGGCCAATTTTACAACAAAATATACCCAAGTAAATCTGGGATTTAGCCATTTCTTTCAAGAATAAGATTTGAAATTATTGCAAAATTTTCGCACTTTCTCTCCAACCAGAAACAAATGAACTATACGCTTTTATAGGTAAATAATTTTGCAAAATGAGCCATTTCTCATGAAATAAGAAGAACAACGAAGATTCTGACTGACGGTCATTCATTTCATTCCCTATTTTTCTACATTCTTCTTCTTCTCCTCCTCCTCTTCCTCCTACGTCTTCAGTGGCCGCGGAAGCTAGACGGGACATCGTTCCTCTGTCCCCACGGTTGTTCGATGTCCGTATCATCTCCCCATCTTATACAAACCCGGCCCTCCCCTATCCTACAATTTTAACGTCCCCACATTTCCCCACACCTTCCACGGCCACTGTTCCCCTTCTCCTTATGGACGACCCGATTTCCTGAATAATGAAAAAGGCAGGGAGCAGACTTATGAATAATTACACACTTTTCCTGACTGAATGCATATTAAGTATTATTGACTCCACCTCTGCTCTGCGTCACTTTTAGATATATTAAATTCCACTAAAATCTATTCATCGATCCGACACCCTTAAAAATCCGGGAACAAAATTGGGAAGAGAATTTTTTGGCGTAAATAATTTTCAAATTCAACATCATAAATTTATCTTAATAATACATCAGAGTGATTATCGTGCCCAGTAAATTCGTGCATAAAAGGCACAGTGGAAATATAAAGGATAATTTATCCTTAAAATTCTGCGGAGAAATTCACCAAACTTGTTTTTACTAAAAAAACAATTTACGCATTCACAATTTCCACATTTTTAAGTGTGTTCGTCTAGATAACAAAATCATGTAATAAATAATCAAGTGAAATTTAGACGAATTTCTCACCTGCAGTCAGTCACCGCTTGTCGAGATACAGTCCGACGACGACGATACGGATACAGTCTGTGACACGTAGACTCTGTGTCATAATGCACGTACGTCTACCTGTCCCTCCAAATTTGTCACCTTAATTTGTATGATATTTTATGCAGAATTATGCAAAAAGCTCTGCAGTCAAATGGATTCTTTTATTTGCATAAACTTTTAGGCATTTAAATAAAAATTTAGGCATGCAGAAATTATGCACAAAAATCGACCAATTTTACGGACAATAATTTCCCAAAAATTTCGACATTTTTAAGTGTGCACCTGCACTACAATCTTACCGATATCAAAAACCTTAATAAATAATCAAGCCAAATTGATACGAGTTTCTCAGCTGCACACAATTCTCTTGTCTCAACCGAGAAGACTGTCATTCAGTCACGGCGTGTCGAAATAAGTCGGACGGACACTGTCTGTCGTGTCATAATGTTCGTATACGTCTACGTCTACCTGGCCCACCAAATTTGTCACTTTGATCCGCAGTTTATGAAATATTATGCTTAAAATTCTGTGCAGAAACGGATCACGATCTGCATACTTATTATGCATAACAGTCTATGTAAATCCCTTTATACATAAAAAATTATGCATAAACTGCACAGGATATTTGCATAAAATTCTGTACAGTTATGGACCAATTTTCGGCTACTCAATTTTGCTCAATAATTTCCATTTTCCTCGATAATTTCCCAAAAAACGATCTTTACCCACACTAAAAACGTCCACATTTTTAGGTTTCGCACCTGCAATACCGTCGTACCGATATCAAAAACCTGTAATAAATAATCAAGCGAAATTGATACGAATTTCTCACCTGCACACAATTCTCTTGTCTCAACCGAGAGAAGACTATCATTCAGTCACGGCGTGTCGAAATAGGTCGGACGGACCCTGTCTGTCGTGTCATATAGCTGGCCCAGCAAATTTGTCACTTTCTCTTCTCCTTTGTCTCTCACAGGAGCGTCTCGGCGGGATCGCAACCTTTGGACTTTCCTCTTTTCCACACGGACGACCCGGCTGCCGATATTTTTCTGCCCGACAACAAACTGGGTTTGACACGGTGACACGATGGGGGTTAATCAATCCGCCAAGAGGAAACATCACGTCAAGGAGGGCGAGGAAGGTGAGAAACACGGTTTTTTGTTATTTTATATTGCATCCAGGGTTTGCAAAAGCATGGAAAATCACGTGATTTTATGTGAAATACATCTGTGATGATGCCGCAAAATGGACAAACTTTCAAGGTTAAAGACATTTTTTTAACTTTCTTTAACTAAGGGAGGCATGAAACTTGATTGGCAAGGAAGAAAATCTGACTTGGGAAAATTTACGAGAATTTGAAGGATTTACGAATACCGTCGTGATAGATTAAAAGCACAACTTTCAATGTTATGACCAACTGTGAAATATGTGATTTGTGACTACACATTCTGCAAAAATTGGCACTTTTTTGTAAATACGAGTTTCGGATTAAGATGTTAGGATTCAGCACAAAATTCTGTGCATTTTCATACCCGTTTTTTGAACAATTTTCACCTGTAAGATACAAGTCTCATGTAACCTCGACTTTGTCCTAATCGGGGCAAGTCGGATAGAAAAATGGTCAGAATTTCGGGCTGAATCCAAATATCTAGTTGGTTTCGGCTTAAAATGTATTTTAACCAAGTTGTCTCACTTTCTCCACAATAATATCACAGAAATCACAATTCGCGAAAAAATTGAGGGGTTGTGAAAATCACGCTTACTGGGATTATCACAGTTCAAACCCTGTCGAATTCCGGCTGGATTCCTTTATTTATTTGCTAACCTCTGGCAGAAGGAGAAATGTCCACCTGAAGGCGACCCTTTTGAATTATTTACGTCCATCTTCTTCTCCTTTTCCTTATCCGTCAGCATCCCAGCCGGCTTCATTTCTCCTGAAAAACACCTCCATTTCACAGAGGAGAAAAACCTATTACGCAATTTTACCAGATATTTCATCCCATTCTCAGAACGAGGGAGACTTGTTCACATTCGTTTAACAAAGTTTTTAAACGTTTTCGCAACTCACAAAGGAGTTTTCCCAGAGTATGCTGTCCAGTTTTGAGAATTCAAAATTAGTTTTAATCGCAAATTTCATTAATATTAAATTTGCACGTTTGGCGGAGATATTTGCATCCGAAGAGGAAAAAACGCGCACTAAACTCGACAAGTTTTACGCTTTCCAAATTTACTGCGCGTTTTTTCCTCTTCAAATACAAATATCTCCGCCAAACGTACCTATTGGGAGATCGCGTCTTTCGCAATTTACATGATAATTAAATTTGCAATCCATTGAGACCAATTTTATCAAAATCGGAGAGCATACGCTATAAGAACTCCCTTGTTAATTCAAAATTTTGCCCCATTTTCTATTTTGGACACTTTTGCACGTCCAAAATTCAATATCAAAAACTGGTTAAAACCCGATTTTGGACATTTGTTTAAGTTAAAACCACTATATACAAATCCCTGATTACCAAATCATACCTACTTAAATTGTTCCTAAATTTAGAAACTTTCCTAATCACGCATCCGACAACAAATTTACTGCGGAGTAAATAAATACATAGGTAAATCGGGTAACAATTACGTCCCCAACTTTGTTCTACTTCATCCCATCCCCGTAATTAAGAAACGTGCTACTTTTGTCTCTTTTCCTATCATTTCATCCTCAATAACACACATTTTCATCTCTCTCCCTGCCCACTTTGCTGGATGACTGCACATACACTGCCAACCAGCAGTGGCCGCGGAAGCCGTGGGGGACGTTAAAATTGTAGGATGAAGGGGAGGCCCGGGTTTATATAAGATGGGGAGATGATAGAACAACCGTGGGGACATTGTTTCCCCTCTGTCCCCTCACCCTTCCGCGGTCACTGAATTTGATAATTGTATAGGGTGGGCCTACGAGAAGGAGTATGATATTCAGTGGCCGCGGAAGCCGTGGGGACATCGGGGGACGTTAACATAAGATGAATAAGATGGGCGACATCGAACACCCGTGGGGACATTGTTTCCCCTCTGTCCCCTCCAGCTTCCGCGGCCACTGTCAACCAAAACCACTATCTCGATCATATTCGCAATTATTTTCATGCTTAAATTACTTCCTAAATTCCTAAGTTCCTAAGTTCCTAAGTTTTTTTTGCGAAGTGACTACATACACACATCACTAGAATTTCGTAAATAATTTTCCAAGCCAATTTTTTTTGCAAAAGTGGACCCTATAATATTGGGGATATTCATGACAACAGTTTTTTGCAAAGTATACCTATTAAAGTGCGCTAATAATTTTTAAGCATATTCTTTCCCCGAGTACATTAAGGGTATTCATTAAGCTGTATTTTTTTCTAAGAAAATACTACCCCTGAGGATGCTTTAGTTGCTTAAAAATTTTAACAAATAGTTTAAAAAATATGAAAATTTACAATTAATTTGCAAAAAAAAATATTTCCATGCGAACATGAATACCCCAAATATTAATTTTTCCAACTTTTTAGAAAACAATCCTTTAAAAAATCTCTTAAACAAAATTCCCCCGACTCCCCCCCCCCAAAAAAAATATTGCCAAACATGAATACCCCTAATACATCCTCACCTCACCTTTTCCAACTCCCACGACCTTTATTACAAAATACATCATCCTCGTCCTCATTATTGATTTATATTTACATACATTTTATTTATTTCATCGCGCCAACTTTTAAGCCATGTACAGACATGAGCCGAGTCGTTTAGGCATTTACATAAATATAATCGCATTAATAATGGCGAAACCTCTTGCCAAAATGAAAACCGCTACTCTCCTCTTAAAGGAAAGAAACTAAGTTATCATCCCTCCCAGTCAGTGGCCGCGGAAGCCGTGGGGGGACATCGGGGGCCATTAATATTGTAGGGTGGAGGAAAGAATCGGGTTTTTATAAGATATAGAGACCGAACAACCTTGGGGAAATTGCCCCTCTGTCCCCTCAGGCTTCCGCGGCCACTGATCCTGGAGGATGATGCGGAGGACGTGTAATTCTTCACCTCGCGCACGAAATGAAGTTTGCATAACTATGTAAAAACACGGATCACATCATAATTCCTTCCTATCTGCGGGCACAATTTCGTTATTATGGCCGACTTCCTGCTGCGTTTCAGGGGCCGCGGAAGGGTGTCTCCGCCATATTCAATTTTTTTAAGTATCCCGCCAATTTTAAAAAAAGTCGGTCTACCTTCTAAATCTTGAATTTCCCCAAACAATAATTTTAAAAAGTCTTTTACCTTCTAAATCTTGAATTGTAGGAAAGGTCCCCCGCCGCATTTGCTTATCAGCGGTGGCTGGACTATTCCCATAAATTGTTTTCGGATCCCGCCAAAAGTTCGTTATCTACTTAATCTTACATTCCCCCAAATCCCCTCAGCTTATGTAATGTATTTAATAAGTGATACTCATAAATCAATGAAGTACACTCAGAGCAAAATCGCTAAACGCGGTGTCTATATATGACCTCACCGGTTTGGTAGCGATTTGCTACAGAGTTGTAGTAAATATGTTACTATGTTCTAGTATTTCCCTACCGCGCTGTTACGGTGAGACAAAATGTGGGAGCAAATTTACTACAATTTCGTAGCAAATCGCTACCAAACCGGTGAGGTCATATATAGACACCGCCCGGTAGCAAATTTGCTTACTTTTTGCTCTGAGTGTACGGTCAGAAATTTTAGAGAGATAAGATAACAGTCCTTGGAAAGACTTCCGCCAAAAAATTGGCCATATATACAAATACCTTGCCAAATTTACCACAAATTTGGCAAGCTTTTAGTTTCCTCCCTAGGTAAATCGTACCTAATTTGCATAAGTAAAATTTTAAAATTTTACATAAATTCATACCCCACGTGTTTCTTTACAGATATGAATTTATCTTAAACTTTAAAATTATAGATTTTACATCACGAAAAGACTAAAATGATAAAAAAGTATGTCACGGAAGACGTAAAATTATAAAATAATAGGTAAATTCATATAAAAAAACTTAAAATTTCAAAATTTTAGATAAACTCTCATTAGGCAAGAAGTACAATTTTAAAATTTAAAACATAATTAATATCTCTCAAAACATACAATTTTAAAATTTTAGACAAATCAATACTTTGAAAAATGTAAAATTTTAAAATTTAGACAAATCCATACTACGAAGAACGTAAAATTTTAAAATGTCATATAAATTCCTATCACCAAAAAACCTAAAATTTCAAAATTTAGATTTCATCTCTCCCACTAAAACCACTCCGATTATTATTATTCTTCTTAATTAATCAATTCGTCCGGGGTTTTGGGGATGCCATGACTGGAGTAATCCTGCCGGGCTGTCAATCCCACGAATTTGGCGTGAAATGGTCTCGTATAGAGTTTAGCAGGCTGGATGGGCTTAGGGATGAGAATCGAATCTCGCAAATCTATTTTCACGCCTCGTTGCCTGGTTCGCGTCCTGTTTTTCCTCCTCTGACAACAATTAGTCCTCAAATTGGATTGGATTGACAGTCCTTTGCTCCCATGCTTGGCTGCATCAAATACACAGGGTTTCGGTTTTTGCCAGTTTTGACGATTTCTTGCACTCGAAGCAAATCAATCCAAAAAATGCGAGGTGCAAGAAACTGGGAGAAAGTGCAAGAAATGTGCGCCATCTAGCCACACACCATATGAAATATTTGCAGTGGCAGGAAGGAGTTTCTTGCACCGTGCATTTCTTGCAGGGCCAATATTATAGATGCAAGAAACCATTTTTTCTTATGCATTTCTTGCACTGCAAAGCAAGCAAGGCAAGAAATGTGAACTGCACCAAATATGCCCCATCTGACCATCTGCAATACGAACTATTTACAGCTGTGGGGCGTATGTATGGGGTTTGTATTTTAAAAGTAGACCTTTTTTTGTATCCATTTCTTATGAAGCAAACGGTCTAATTATAAAACACAAATACACAAACCATAGTTTTTAGCGCCTTGCATTTCTCCCAGGTCAAAATATTCCCCTGCAAGAAACCACTTTTTTCCTTTATATATTGCACCTTGGTTCCTTACACGCGAAACACTACAAATTCCCTCCCCCCCCACGACCACTCG